CTGGGCTCCCCACCCCGACTTGGGGGTACTCTGTCCCCCCAAGGTGGGGCAGGGGTCAGGCTCTTGCCATCCAGGATAGCCGTGGTCCAGGCATGACCTAGGAGTCGTGGAAGTTCAGGAGCCCACGCCAAAAGAGCAATGCTCTCCACAGTGCTTTAACGAGTCTTCGCTGTAAGACGGGCTGAAGCCTGTCTACGGGTAGACAGCAGCTTGATAGGAAACACAGAGAAGGTGTGTGAAATCTGCCAGTACATCATAGCAAGTAGAAAGCAGAGAATACTCAGAAAACTTTATTTTCCTTAGTAGCGCTGATAAGGGGGAATTGCCTTGAGGTACACAGGCATAGAAATAGTTGCTTCGAGCATCCCAAGGCCTTTGGAGAAAGGCACTTCAGCACAAGCAGCCCGTTCAGTCCCAGAGGGCTTATCTGTGTGTTAGTGATAAGACGGAGGCGGCTTTGTACAGTGAAGCAAACTGTAAGTAGCTAGTTATTTTAATTGGTGGGGTATAAATGCAGGGGGAAGTTGCTTTACTCGCGTAAGGCGGGCAGATAACTGTTCAAACACGGGCTGTTCCGTGACCTTTGCCCGTGACACGCACCGCGTCAGCGTGCTTTGGTGTTTCCACGTCCCTCGTTTGCTGTCGAGGTGACTGCAGTCAGGCTGGACCTGTTACTTCTGTCTCTGAGTAACTTGTACTTGCCACAAGTACTAAGCTACGCTACCTGTTCTAAAGCATTTCCAGTGTTGTCTTCGCTCATTAACTAGGCCATATATGTGTCGTTTCTTGTCTGACGTGATGCGCAGCTGCTTCCTGCTTCCTTCCACCTGCCCCCTGCCTTTCCTCTGCCAGGTGTTACCAGAGTTACTTCTTCACTGCTTTATGCTCTGACATTTCTGCTGTAGAGCATTTCGGGGGTAGATCGGTCATCAGTAACAATTGGTACGTGTCTATTCGGAGCTGCCCTCTGTGGTTAAAGGTCTCAAAGACCAGCTCCCACAAGATAGCTTGAGATTTGTGCTCCTGGGAGGGGCAGTGCAAGCCGTGTTTTTCGCATGTTTACCTTCCTAGTGGAATCCATAGCGTTTAAAGAAGCTTTCCCTATTATATAGGGGCACCAGCCACCAGAGCTGAAGCAAAAGCTGGTGTTTAAGCCTTATTTTTCTCCAACATTCTGGCGCTTTTCTGTAGCCCAGAATTGGGTGCCAACCCCAAACAGCGTGTAGCCACTTAAATCTGTTTTCTCCAAGCCCAAGGAAGGTCAGTCCTCCAGCCCAGTGGGTGGAGGAGACAATGGTGTGGTGCCTCCTCCTTCCCCCAAGGCAGCTGGGAGGAAGGAAAGTCTTTGGGGAGCGAGAGGTTTGCATCCTTCGAATCTGCCACACAGAGTGTGAACCTCTAGGCCGAAGAACGAGTAAGGACAGAGCTTTCTTAGGTTCGTTAGCATCCCCTGGAGAAGGAGGCAGTTAGTCCCTCTGCCTCACATTTTATTGAGCCTGAAGTTGTCTTGAGTTTCTTTGCGCTTATTCGAATAAGGGTCCTGCCCCAGTGTTCTCTGTGGAGCAGCTGATGCACAGTAACCTTTCGGTGGGTCACAGTCCTGTGTCCTCCTTAATAGCGTGTAGTTCTGCGAAGCTTTCCCAAACCTGCGGACATATTAAAAATGTAAGACGCTAATTGACTTCTATACATCAAGAAAAGCAACATGTGGTAGCTCCTGCTCTGTGTAAGTAATAATTCCTCTTCATTTAGGTCAGGCCTGTTGCAGACAGTCGCTGATAATGGCCGTGCTGTGGACAAACCTCGGCTCTTTTCCAGACTCTTCAGGACCCAGAGCTCTGTCACTCAGGGTCTGGGTTTTCCCCAGGTCTTGTAGCAGCACGCAGGCTTTCTGCTCCCCGCTCGGAGGGATCTGCCCAGGGCTTGTAACCCCCCAGCCACTGGTGTAGGAAATCCCAGACTTTGTGACTTCTCCCTGTCTCTGCAGCTTACCGCTGTGAATGTTTCCAGTTGAACGCCTGCCTCTGTTTACTGAGTTACCAAGGGGCAGCATTGCACAAGTAAAATGTTGAAACTTGTGCCGTTTATTTAGTGGAAGAGAAGGAGCCTTCCTTTGTATTTAGACGGGACTCGATGCTTCCTGACTTTCCCTGTGGCTTGCGAAAGAAGCTCAGTGCAGCCCGGTAAGGTCGCATTGCCTCTCCTTGGCACCCACGTGGCTTCTTATTTGAGCTGGGCTCTCCTCACCCCCTGCCACCCTGCTCTCTTCTCCCGTCTCCAGCAGAGTTTCTGGCAGGTTGAGGTTTCCCCCAGAGCTGGCTAGCAGTGCCCCTTTCCGCAGAGCATGCAGGTGCTCCGTTTCTTCTTCGGAGGCAATGCAGAGGTTGCTCTGCTGAGGTTTAGGCAGATGTCGGCAAGGCAGGAGGGGCTGTCTTCTCCTGGTTGGGGCTATTTTGCAAAGTCCTCATTTGATAATGTTCTCTGTCTACCAAAAATAGAGTCCCAGCACACCGTAGTCCCAAGCGAGACTTCAGCTTGCCATTGTCAATGCAAAATAAAATGCCTTTCCAGTAGCAAAGTTAGGTTTTTGAGGAGCTCGGCTCCTTTAGTGAATAAATGTGATGTGGGAGTGAGTCAGAGCTCCAGCTCTGTGTGTGAGTGTGCAGGGAACATGGGGGCTCAGGGAGGCATCCGTGCTGGCCCCGCAGTGAGCGTGGGTTACTCCAAGTCTTCGGCCTCGCCGGTCCCGTGAGGGGTGTGCGATTCCTGGGCTGCCAACTGCCTCTGAGCTGCCAGAGTGCCCAGCCACAGCCTGCCGCGCGGACGCCTGTTCAGATACCAATCTGTTGACTGTGGTCTTTCCTGGCCTCCAAACACACGGAAAGCAGGCTGGGCCCAGCGCTGTCGCTGCGTTTTCCTGGGTGGTAACTTTGCCGTAAGACAGGGCGAGCGGCGGAGGTGAGACCCGGGGCCGTGCTTGCTGCCCTCTGCTCTCCTCAGGACTGGTCGGAGCAGGAGCGCTTCAGGAGCCGGTCACTCTTCAGTTTCAGTAAAAGACTTAGGGACGAGAAAAAGATAGGAGGACTGCAGATGTTGCGCTGTGTTTTTCCATCGACTGTTACCTTTTTCAGGCTGTGGAGCAACGAATTCGAGAGGAACAGCGAATGATGGATGAGAAGATTGTCTTGGAGCTGGACCAAAAAGTGATAGACCAGCAGAGCACTCTGGAGAAGGCTGGGGTGTCTGGCTTCTACATCACCACCAACCCACAGGTCGGTGTTGAGGCAGGGGTGCGAGATCTGACAGTACTCTTGTGTTAATGTCTTCATTTTTTAAAAAAAATCTTGCTCTTAATGAATTCTGCGTCGCTGGGTCAGAAGGAATGATCCGTCCTTTGCCCCATCAGCTGATGGGTGGCAAGTACCAGGTTTGTAATGAAGGAGCAGAAACCCGTTAGACAGGGCGACATCCCCAGCTTTCTCCAGTATTCATCCCACTGTGGAGGGAGGAAACCTTGTGCCAACAGCCTGCAGTCCTGTGACTCTTGAACAGGCCTGAATAATACTAAAATAGGTGGCTGCGTAGGTTGATCGCTTTTGTACCTAGCTGAGCTGTACAAATTGCCTTCAGGAAGTCTTTTTGTTTGGCACCTTATTAATTCTTACACGTGACTTGGTGGTGATGATGATCTCAGACTGATTAGAAAGTTGTTCTCAGTTTCCACGGTGCATCTGCTCTTAAAACTTGTGAGCAATCGCCTGGGTTCCTCTCTGTTATCTTAACGCCACCGCAGGAATGAAAAAATAAAACTTCCAAAGTCCCGTTGTAATGCTGCAGAAGTTTGCAGGGAATGCAGAAACGGGCTGTTCTTAACTCTGTTTTTTCAGCTGATTAAATTTCGCTTTGATAAAGACCTACTAGTGAGAAAAGGCGGCTTAAACCACGGTAGTTCAACAGGCGTTTTCTAAAACCCACACGATTCCCGGTTGCGTAGCCTTGAACAAGCCTCATATTTTTCCTGTGCTGCTGTTCCTCATCCGTATAATGAAAGCAGCGCTTTCTCTCCCCTCCTGCCCCTGCCTTTTATGTGATTTTTGCAAGTAATAACTCTTAGCAGGGCTCCTGTTTGCTGGTTTGTCTGTACGATAGCTGGCAAACCAGACCCAGACCTTGGCTTGTACCTGTGAGTGCCGCCGTCGTGTCGGAAGTCCCTCTGGGATCTGTCGCCCATGCGCTTCCCATCGGCTGATGCGTTTCCTCCCACTCCGTTGTACAGAATGCCTGCTTATGCAGTTGATATATTCTTACCGAAATAGATTTTTATTTCCATAATGTAATGTCTGCAAGCCTGAGTCACAGAAGAGCGTTCACTGAATTAGCTGTTCCACCGTGTAGTCTCTGCGCCGAGCGGCTTGTGAGCCAAGCGTGAGCAGAGAGCCAGCGGGCGGTAAGGAAGCTGTCAGCTGGTGGTGGTGGCTACAGGAGGCAGCGGCCTCCGCGTTGTCGCAGTCATGGAAGAGGGAGTTTTCGAAGGGGAATGAAATGCCGAGAGGAAGCACAGCAGCGTGTTGCACATGCCTTGGACTCTGCTCAGAGAGCACCCATCGCGATCCCTCCTGCCCTGGAACAGGAGGAGGATGTTGGAGGTGCCGGCAAGGAGTGAGGGGAGGGGGCTGTGCCCCCCGAGAGCCTCCTCGGGGTGTGTGGCTGCTGTGCAAGGGGACCGCTGCCCGCCCTGGAGGGGAAGCCGCAGAACTGGCTGGCCCTCCCCCCGTCTATCACTAAATCACGGTCAAGAAGAAGAACCTTTCTGAATCCCTCATGGATCGTAAAGCCCTGGGGTTCCGAAGGCAGCTGCAGTTTGCAGCAGGTCTCTTATTACTGCCCTGTATTTTATGGAAGTCTGTGAACGAGATGACGGCTTTGTTTTGTGTCTGCGTGCTTTTTCTCTTGTTCCCTGAAGATCAGTAGCGCTCGAGTGGGTGGTACAAACCAGTCCTTGCCGCTTCCTGCGGCAGGGAGCGGGGTCACCTCATTCTTGCAGCAATGCCTCTCTTCCGTTGCAGGAGCTGACTTTACAGATGAATTTACTGGAGCTGATTCGGAAGTTACAGCAGAAGGAATCCGAGTCCGAGAGCGCTTTTTCCTGAACGAGCAGATCTGCTGTTTATTTTCCAGAGTTTTCTTCCGACTTCCCTCTAGTGAATAGACTGTTAGTGCGTTTGCTTTACGTTGTGTCAGGAAGACGCTCCTGGCTGTAGAGGTAGCTGAGGCCCGCAGATAACCTTAGAGCAGGGGCGGGGGGTGGCTGGGGAGCATCAGGGTCCCTCTCTGGTCCTCGGAGCAAGGCGCGTGCTGCGCGTCTCCCCAGGACGAGCGGTGACAGGCCATCAGTCTGCCCCAGACAGCCGGCAGCTCGCTGGGGACGGGCACCGAGGCAGGAGACCCAGCCCCGCCGCCTGTGGGTGACCGCTGTGGGCGGCGTGTTCCGCCCCTGTTCGGACAGGGCAGGGGACTCGCCGCCTCGCCGTGGCGGGTGGCTGGCAGCTGGGGAAGAGGTCCACGGACTGTCTATGAGAGGATGCTTCTGGGCGTGTTGAGGCAGAAGCAGCCTCGCAAACGGGCAGACCCTTCCCAAGGAGACCTGTAGCCAGCTGTCGGCATCAGCTTTGTTAAAGGAGGGTTTCAGGCCTCTGCCCAGCGTTACTGGGCTGGGACGTTCACAGTGTTCCCACCTGACTCGGAGAGCAGAGAAGGCTTCAGTGCTTTTGCTTTGTTACTTTAAACCGGTTTCCAAATGGAGAGAAATAAAATGTTCTGTCCTGCCTTCCAGGGCTGCAGCTCTCTACATGTCAATGATTGCGATGACGTTTGTCCCATCCCTGCGTGACGAGCGTGGGGTTTGGGGTGCAGTAGGTTAAGGCTGGGAGGGGAACCTTGAGCGTTCCTGAGACCCTTCAGGGCTGAGCTGCTGACCCCGAGAGCCTGAGCCGCGTCCCCAGGGCTCGGTGCACAGGAGGAGCTGGGGTGCTTGCTGAAAACTTGGTGAAAGATTGCTTCGAGTGCGAGAGGTGTGTTGGTGCCGGGCAGCGTGCGAAGCTGGCTGCCCGTAGGAAAGGGGGTGGTGCAGGGGAGAGTCTGCAAGCAGGTCTGTTCTTCACAGGTGAAGTTCAAGTGGGATAAGCTGTCAAGGGGGGCTCAAAGACTTGGGCCATGGTGTGTTGGAGGGCTTTGATTACACCCGAGTGACTGCTTAAGGGTTTTCTGACATCCCCGGAGCACGGCTTGTATTTGGCAGGTGTCTCCTGCGTGTTGCTCTCTGCTTTTGCCTCCGTCCTCTGCTGCCGCAGCAGTCCCTTCACAGCAGAAGGCAGGGTGAGGAGGTGCGGTGTGCTGTCAGCCGCTGAGGCCGGGAGATGGGTTGGTGCCCCTGGCCCGGGGTACCGTGAGCCCTCATGTTCACACGAAGCAGATCGCTGGGCTGGCGAGCGAGCCGGCGCTGAGCTGAGAACCAGCTCAAGTACGGAAACCTGCAAAGGCGTCACAGAGCTTGCGAGCGGCCTTCTGGTGGGCAGAGGTGGTGGTGGAGGAGTTGGCCACTTCTGCAGGCAAACCCGCTGAAGTTCGGCAGCTGCAGGGACCAGAGAGGCTTTTGCAAATTCAGGGCTGAGACCCCCTCCAGTTTCCATCACGGGTGGGTGTCTCTTCCCCCGGGAGCGTTGCCGCTGTGGTTTAGCAGCTGGAGATGAGCGGTGCTGCTCTTGTCTCTAGCTCCTGGATGAAAATCCGCAGCTGGGAAGTGGGCCGGTGTGGGACCTGCGCCATTGCAGGACCCCGCGAACCACCCCGAGCTGCGTCGCCCCTTGGCCCTCGGCAGGGAGCCCTGCACTCGGCTGCTGAAAAGGCGAGGA